TCTCAAAATGATCACTTTTTACAAGTGTTTGTGATACCTGGGTTCCCAGGGGAGCCAGCTGAGGTCACTCAATTAGGGTTCACAGCAGGAAATGGGATGGCCAAGCCCCAAAACTGGTATTTTTTTCCAATATTTATATTTTCCAAACCATCACAAAACGGCTTCTATATTACCTTATTGGTTAATCAGAAGTCCAAACAACATAGTCCCCTTTAAGTATTCATCCTTAGGCTTCCACTCAGTCAAAGTTCTACCAATTTGAAAGTATCAGACACATTACCTTCTAGGTCAATAAATATTTCAGACTCTATCCCAAATACGTGCTTATAGCCAATTATTACTAACTAAATTCAAATTTATTAAAAAAGAAAAAAGAGTATTAGTTAAAATATCAATAACATGCAGACATGAGTTCAATTCTTGAGGCTCAATTAAATGAGAGACAATGAGCTGGTAGTTGCACAAAATTTTTTAGAATTTAGTCCATGGTTATAGTCCAGAATCCATATCCAGGGCGATTCCCGTCTGTGACTGGGACCTCAATCCTTGTGTCTAAGGGCATGTCTAGAGTAGGAAATTATTTCAAAATAACTAAATTCGAAATAACTCCTGAAATAACTATTTCGAAATAAGTGTATTCCTCAAGGAAAGTAGGAGTACAGATTTTGAAATAATCATCCAGTTGTTTCAAAATAACGGGGTTGGTCACTCAGCTTATAAATAAGGGGGGGTTATTTTGAAATAACTCCCTAGTATAGACCAAGACTTAGGTTTCCCCTGTCTGAAACCTCAGGCAGATCTGAGACCCTAAGTCAATGCCCATTAAAGAGGCACCAGGATCTCCTGCCATGTCATCTTTTATGGTTTGCAGCTTTCCCCATGAGCATCCAAGAAGATATGAGATTTAAAAGGATCCTGTCCAAAGAGGCTTTATACCTTTGCATCAGCCTCTTGGCCTGAGAAAGCACAATAGGCCTTTGACCTCTCTCAAACATCATGGTAATTAGCACCAAGTAATTTATCCATTAAAAAGTTCACATACAATTTACTACAACTTTCAAAGAGACATATGAACAGTAATATTACTTCAATCAAATTTCACCATAAAAGTTAATATTTCCTTTTGATCTTGAATCAAAGGTGTAGTAACAGACAAGGATTTTTTATGTATATCATAAGGCCTGAGCAAGTACCTGCCATTCTACTGCTCTAAGAAAGCAAATTTGCATTTCAGAGTTCTTCTCTAACCTAACATAATAGTCCACCTATTATTTTCACATCTTCCCAACAAGTCTTTAAAGCTTGACCCTGGGTAAGTCAGCTTATGAGCTGGTTAACCCTTCCTGGCCAGATATCGCATTTTAATCAGATATCTAATATTTCAATCGGATGTCACAACCCCAATGCAAAATTGATGCAGGAATGTTAGAAGGGTCAGTGTGTAACAGAAATGGTTTGTTTGTTTAAAACAGGCTTCTTCACTGCCGCGTTCCTTATGGAAGGAACAATATTATTGAATCCTTTTATAAACTCAGGGTAAAATTTGGTTAGGACAACAGTCGATTGGGTCTGCTCTTGCAGCATAGTTACTGTGTGTCCTATGTAATCTTGTCAAGAGCTAAATAAAATCGTTATCCATATAAGCTCTGACAATGTTTGGAATCCAGTTAGCATCAATTAAATATAGATATTTATGTCCTTCAGAGTGTAGGAATCTTGCATTTACCATGCAAGCAATATGGTAGCTTGCCTCAAATTTCCCTTTTCATACAGCACATCTGGACTGTCTTTTCCCCTGTGACCAGTTCCAAGACTAGTTACTGACACCAACTGTGAAATCTCTGTATCGCAAGGCCTGATAATATAAGGTGTGATTTTATGTCTTGCTCTTAATATGTTCATGCATTTTTCCAGACCTCACACCTTGTACGTTTTTATAAGAGTATTCACTATGCCATTATTTAAATCATTGATGAAGATGTTGAACAGAACCAGACCCAAAATTGATCCCTGCTGGACCCTACTCAGTGCGCCCTTCCACCATGTCTCTGATAATTGCTCTCTGGGAATAGTTTCCAACCCGTTTTGCACCACTGTATACTAGCTCCATCTAGGTTGTATTTCCCTAGTTTGTGTATGAGAAGGTCATGTGAGAGAGTACCAAAAGCCTTACTAAAGTCAAGTTATACCACAGCTGCTACTGCCCCGTATCTGCAAGATTTTTTACCTTGTCAAAGAAAGCTGTCAGATTGGTTTGATGCAATTTGTTCTTGACAGATCTATGCTGACTTACTTATCTTATTACCTTACTAGAAGATTTACCCAGTGTTGCTCGAGTTCATAAATCAAATAAGTTTTGTTTTTATTCATTTAAATCATTGTTCTGGGCTGGGGCTAGAGATGACGGGTTCACTATGCAGGCTGCTCCGGGGAGAGAGGACAACCCAGCCCTCTCAACACAGCAGTTTGGGGTCAGGTGAGAAGCGCCTATGCATGGTCACTATAGCAGGCCAAGCTGGGGAAGGGGTATATGTACCCTGGCTTGGGGACAGACAGATAAAATCTCTGAAATATATAGGAGATAGCTGTCCCTTTCTCCACCTGCTTCCTGCTAGTCCAGTGGGGTTTTAACAGTCCCAGTTCCTATATCTGGCCCCTTGCTGCCCTCCTGTGGCCATTCTGCAATATAAATGTTCCTCCTACCAGACATCCCTCTCCTTCCATTTTATGAGAAACAATCGAATTCCATATACATCCTGTTGTCCTGGCACCACAAAATCTTTACCTTGCTTTAAGTTTACCTTACTGTTTAGGAGGAGTTCTTGGACAAACGGATTTACGGATGAACAGACAGATGCACATTTCTAAAATATAAAAGAAGGCTGTTGCAGAGTTATAATACATTTTTAAAAAATCTTGACCATAATCATTTGGAGTTAAATCAGAACTTCTGCAACTGGCACTTCAACTGTCTTCTTATTTAATCCCTTGCAAGAAATCTCTAAATTATGATCTTTTTGAGAGTGTTTAAGAATCTGGCAATCATGGTTGAGATATCCAACTGAATCATCAACAGGCTGCTTCATGCAGGGAGCTGGACAGTCCAACATGGTCCTTCATATAAGTCATTACAGCCTTCTATGACATGTTTACATGCTTCACTCTGAGTTTTAAGACGTAAAATCAGAAACACAAATGTTTTTAGTTATATCAAAAGCAGTGAGCCAAAGTAAGTGTGTTTCATTTTATTCAACAAAAATGCCACTTTTCCAGGTTAAAAGAATGTCTCTTTGTGGCTTGTTTCTCTCACCGACAAAAGTTGGTCCAATAAAAGATAATATTCTCCTGCCCTGTGTCTCTGATTACTCAGAATGTACAAGTAAAGGTTTCCTTTCAATTCATTTTTACTCTTAAAATGGTATTGGTTTTTTCCACAGAAATTAGCCTGAACGTTCGAGATCCTCCAACTAAGATTAACATTATTCCAGAAAAAATGGTTAAACCAGAATGGAGATTACCTGAAGTTAAATATCGATTTGTCACGAGGTAAAATAAGAGTTTCTGTTGTGGTTTGCATGGACCAATGTTTTTATTGAATTTTAACTGGGAACATTACAGGAAACATATAATATACCTTGTTATATCTTCCGTACTTTTCATCTCGGCACTACTTAGGAATTTTTCCAAAGTGATTTAAATTTCACATTTTTAAGAAATATTAACGATTTCTCTTTAATTTTGTTTTTAGGTCAGAACTGGATAACTTACCAAATAATCATTCCTGTGATGTTATTGGTCTTGTAACATTTGTAGGAAGGGTTGAACGATCAAGAAAGAGAGGTATATATAAAAATTATTTTAAATGTTTATCAAACCATTACAATTTGGTAGACTGTTATTTAACTTTAACATTTTGGTTTATGCAGAATATGGTGAAGATTTTTGGATACATCGTTGGGCACATGTTGTTGATGGGACATCAGATCAACCATTCATACTGGAATTGTTTGCCACGTCTCAGCCAGACGTATTTGAACACATTCACCCAAGTATTTATCATACAATATTCAGACTATTTTATTATTTACTTGTTTATTTTCACTTACAGTATTTTTCTAGAAGAGCACCATTTTCAAACTAGGCATCTTTGCCATGAATTAATATTATCACTAAAATTTCTTAGCCCCAATCACAAAACAAATGAGCAGTAATGAAAACCGACCCAACAGTGCTCATTTCAACAAAAGGTGGTAGTCCACATCTTAGCAGATCTTCCTCAGTAACTTTGGTAAATAGATGGGCCTTTCGGCATGCCCTAAAATTGAGCTGTTGTGGAATTTTTTAATTGAATTTGAATGAATTTAATTTGTGAGTTTCTTGCACAGAACACCCTGATTGTGATTGCAGTAGTACAATACAAGGAAAGAGGCTGCCTCTCAGGCAAGTTTTAGGCCATGTAGTTTTACATGTCAAAAAGAATTCCTTAAAAAACACCGAGAACCCAACATGGATTCAGCACAGATCACAGAGTACTCAAGGTGTTGTCAGCATGCTGCCTTGAGTATTAGGATGAATGCATACATGCTTCTTTGCTAATTTTCCCAAGGGAATTGGGTACATATTGAATGGGAGGGGAGTCAGGTTAAAGCTCTGTGGAAATTGATATTTTAGTACACTAAGAGATAATGAGCATTTCCTAAAATCGCCATCTGAGATTCCCTCAGCAAGGAAGGAACAGCACTGTCCAAGCCTGCTATTTGTGTCTGAGCCAACGTACAGTGAAGTCTTTGCAAGGCTTTCCTTTCACTTCATTGTGTGTTGGATCATGCCCCTTATCACCAGAAAATAGTCTCTTAACATTTAAGATATTCTCTGCTCTTTCTTTCTTTCTTTTTCCCTAAATTTTTTTGAAAATAATGTGTATTAAAGCCTGATTTTTTTCAGTGATGTTGAACACCTAACTCTTGTTGCAGGTCCTCAGTCCTTCTGAAAATAAGATGTAGTGTAGGTACCTAAACGTGGATTTGTGTGCCAAATACTAGTTTGAAAACTTTGGTGTATTTGTCCTGAAGTATTACATTGGTAACGTTGGAAAATAATTGTGCATTTACCTCCAACAAATGTTTTCCACATCAAGGAAAAAACATTTGTGGGCAGAATGGGAAAGCTTGCTTGTATTAGTTCTACAGTTACAGGGCTTCAGTTTTATTTAACATTTCATTAGCTTAGCTTACTGACAGTCTTTTTCAGCCATTATCCCAGTCTCACATTTCTTCATTAAAGACTGCAGACTATATATTTTTCAGAAGATGATTTCTGTTCTTTTTAGATCATTGATTGTAACATCTTTTTTGAGGAAAAACTTCTTTTCTCTAATGTTTGGTACTTGATTTGTCTCATCCACTGTGAATGAAGCTAAAATTGACATAACTTTTTGTTTGGCTCTATCAACTTCAATAACACTTTCTTTCCCGTGGTAAAAGTGATTAGTATGTATCACAGAAGTTTCTGTGATGAGATCACATCTGCAGCCACATAGCACAAAACTTTGAGAATATATGGTGTGGAAGAAAGGAGAGAGAAATTAATGACTTTCTTCTCTGTGTTTTGGTTAAGAGGAAATGAGTTTGAAGTATGGTCTATGATGTAATGGTGAAGCAGTTTTGGTTTTTTTTTAAATGGAGATGCCTATCTCCTAGAACTGGAAGGGACCTTGAAAGGTTGTTGAGTCCAGTCCCCTGCCTTCACAGCAGGACCAAGTACCATCCCTGACAAATTTTTGCCCCAAATGGCCACTGCAAGGATTGAACTCACAACCCTGGGTTTAGCAGGCCAATGCTCAAACCACTGAGCTATCCCTCCCCCCTTATTGGTATGTTATCACAATTAAGCCCCTTTTAACGATCATCGTTATTTGATTTCTTTTGCATAATATAAAAGTGGATGAGATCTAATGTAGAATTGTATGCAGCCATAATTGCTGTTTTTAATTATTAACACTGACAGATTCTTTTGTGTCATATAATGAAGATTGAGGTAGTAGGGCTGGCTGGTAGATGAGAAATTCTGTTCTAATGTGGAGCAAAACTGAGATTGTTTAATCAATTAACCAGTTAAACGTAACCTTTAACAGGTTATCCCTGGGGTTCTCAAACTTTGTGATACCGCAACCCTCCTCTAAGTTGCTCACGACCCCCTGGAGGGTTGGGACCAACAGTTTGAGAAACATGGGGTTAACCAATTAAACAGGATGTTACTTTCTTAGCCTGAAGCCCTCAGCTATATAATAATACGTTTCTCTCACACCTGATTAAGATTTAATTATTTATGCAAAGTGGAACAGCAGCTTCAACGTAATTATATGAGAGAGAGAGAAACTGCCACTTGGGACAGCTTTTTTTATGCATAATTTTAATTTAAACACACATCTTTGAGACACAAAACCTCTCAATGTAATGTTCAAATTGTGACAGATTAACTCAATTGTATCATGGCTCGCCAGAGCCTGAATCCTGTATACCCGTACAAATATGCTTAACTCCAACTGAAATCATGTTACTTTAACAGCTGTGAATTAAGGATGTTAAGGACTAGTCAACTGGGGCTCTTGTACATTTCAAAGGAAGGAATGCGGAACTCCATGTGCAGCCTGGGGCCAGTGGGAAGTCCCACTGACTCCTGGCTTCATGCAGGTGCTTTCACTTTCAAATGCACAAGAGCCCTTGGGGTAAGCACCCTTGTGGAGCCCAGAGTCAGTGGGACTTCCCACATTCCTCCTTTGAGGAGGATCTTGTACATTTCAGAGGAGGAATGTGGAAGTGCCTATCCACTAGTCAACTAGTAAATTACTCATAAGTTAACATCCTTACTGTGAATCCAACTCCATCCCCAAATTGAGCTCTAACAAAAAAAGAGTGAAATATTGACTATTTTAGTGCATCTTTGGCACCTTGATATTTTAGAAAAAAATTAAATGATTTCTTTTTCTCTAGTGACCTATTTGGTGTGTACACAGATGAGAGTGGTGCGGGACATCACTGAGAATACTCCCAGAACACTTTATCTTACAACTTCAAATGAGAGTCAGATATTTATTACAGGTAAATAAAATTTTCTTTTAAAATTAATGTTACATGATATATACTGTAGATTATATATTTTTTGGTAAATGAGATATTTCAGCTTGAAGATGTCCTTAGTATTTCTAGATAGAAGGGAAAAAACAATTAGCTTTTAAAGCAGATTTCAACATCATACTGTAGCGTACCTTACCATTGCTCCCTCCATTCAGAGATTGAATAAATTATATTTTTCCATTAATAATTCCAGGTTTCCTTTTTTCTCTTTCACTCCTCACCCCCAAATAAAATACCCCTATATTTAATTCCTGTTGGCCTGATTGTAAACTTGAGACCAGTCTAGTTTTAACATTTATAAATTATCTGGAAAGTGGTTAGATTTCCTTCCTGTCTGAGAGATGTTCACAAGCTTTGTATTTCTAGATAGAAGAAGGAAAGTGAAGTTATTGAGTAAAACTATTAAAACTTCACTGAGCTGGTATCAGATGGACTCCAAACTAGGGATGTTAAATTTCCAAAGGCTATTGCTATACTTCAAAGGCGAAAGTGCTGCGGGGAGCATGTTGGCCCCGTGCTCCCTGCGGCATTTCAAAGTGGTAGTGCTGTGTAGAGCCTGGAGTCAGCTGAGGAGTCCCCCGCTGACTCTGGGCTCTATGCAGTTGCTGCTGTTTTGAAACGCCATGGGGAGCCCGGCATCAGTCTGTATGTGGTGTTTCAAAGTGGCAGCGCTACTTGGAGCCTGGAGGCAGTGGGGGAGTCCCCAGCTGATCCCACACTCCATGCGGCATTGCCGCTTTGAAACGCTGCATGTAGCCTAAGGACACCCCAGCTTGGGGGAGGGAAGCGACTAGTCAACTAGCCTGTGGACTATCCGATAAGCATTTGCTTGTCGGACAGTCAACTAGTCGTTCACATCCCTACTATAAACAAGCCATAAACAGAATATATATGCGCCAACTGATAGTGAAAGCCATATCAGGACAGTTATGAGTTGAAAGTATTGAGATAGTTAGAACAATGCAATATGATAATCAAAAGATAAAGGGTGTCTTCCCCTGCTAAATCATACTATATTTTAAGAAATTATAATATATCCAGCAATTGTGCTATTGTTTAGTTGGTTCGCATGAAGACTCATCAGTTGTTCCATTACAGAATATTTTAAGAACTTGACAGTCCTGTAACATATGCAACAAGGAACCTTTATAAAGGTTCTGTAATCCTATCCTATTTTGTAGATTCCAGCTTTCCATTTTATTTAAAAAATGTCCTATATAATTTTAATATTAAATTCAGCCCTATAAATGGTCTTCCGCAGAAATACCTTGGGTTTATTATCCAGTTTGTTCTTTCTATAGTATTGGTGATATGTTAGCCCAGACAATAAATACTGAGTCCATGTATAGGCAGACAGAAACAAGAAAATACAGTTTTATGTCCTTCTTTCTAGCTGTTCGTCAAACTCCTTTTTGGCTTTTCTTATTATAATTTTATACTTAATTTGACAGAGTTTCTGCTCCCTTCTATTTTCTTCACTAGGATTTAACTTTCATTTTTTTAAATGATGCCTTTTTATCTCTCACTGCTTCTTTGACTTGGTTGTTAAGCCACAGTGGCACTTTTTTGGTTCTCTTACTATGTTTTTTAATTTGAGGTATACATTTAAGTTGGGCCTCTATTATAGTGTCTTTGAAAAGCTTCCATGCAACTTGCAAGGATTTTACTTTTATCACTGTACTTTTTAATTTCTGTTTAACTAACCTTCTCATTTTTGTGTAGTTCCCCTTTTTTTGAAATTATATGCCACAGTGCTGGGCTGCGTAGGTGTTTTTCCCACCACAGGGATGTTAAATTTTATTACATTATGGTCACTATTTTCAAGCAGTCCAATTTTATTTACTTCTTGGACCAGATCTTGCGCTCCACTTAGGACTCAATCAAGAATTCTCTCTCCCCTTGTGGGTTCCAGAACCAGCTGCTCCAAGAAACAGTCATTTAAAGGTATCAAGAAATTTAATATCTGCATCCCATCCTGAGGGGACGTGTACCCATTCAATATGGGGATAGTTGAAATCCCCTACTATTACTGAGCTTTTTATTGCGATAGCCTCTCTAATCTCCCTTAGCATTTCATAGTCACTATGACTATCAGGTGTTTTAGTTTATTAGTAGGATTGGCCACAAATCTTCCTCTTGGTAGAGATATTTAATTTTAGATTTCAGAGCTTCCAAATGAAGGGCTTCTGATTTTTATTGTCATCCTCACTTGTTTTAATGTCAGCTACTCTCTCTTGTATTCATCTTGGTCCTAAATCAGTGTCTCAGCTAGCATCTCAAAATCATCAGCTGAGACTTTTTTTAGCTCAGCATCTTATAAATTGATCTATCTTGCCACAGACAAAGTGTCAACAGGAGAATATGGGTCATCTCTGATGGGATAATGGTAACTTTTTGGTGTCAAATATTGCTTCTTGCTCATATTTTTACACTGTTGTGTGGGACAGAGTACAATTAGCTAGTTGTAGAATGAATGTTCAACTGTTTTATACCCTAAATACTAACATTTGGGTTATCTAAGAGGTGGGTGTGTGTGTACTTTTAAATCAAAGTGCCATGTAAGGGTCCCATTACACTTCTTTATAAATCCACTACTGACTGTTAGAAGAGATGTTGTGTTAGTATCTATGACTTAGCTTTTTGTGTATATTGCTCTACAGTGTTCAAGTGTGGCATTTCATAAAAAAAATTACCTTAACCTATTTGATCGTTTTATCTCAATACCCAAACCTCTTTGTTTTAACAGGGTGCCACAAAGGTCAGTCATACACCAGGGATTCCAAAGTGAAAAACTTTATTCAGTGGATTAAAACTCAAAGTGAAGCTGATCAAATCAAGAAAACTGTAATTGGTGGATACTATCCTTTCCCACCAGCACCAAAAACTTTTCTGAAGTATTGTAAAAATAACAAAGGTATCCTACACCATACAAAAAAAATCCATTCTATCTGAGCCTTCATCATAAGTATTCAAAATCAGCAACTCTGATTGCTTTACACCTGGATTGTATCAGTGATTAAAACTGGAAAGTCATTCAAAGACAAATCATTCTGTAGCTGCTGAAGATAGACTCAAACAATGCCTTAGCTAGAGAATTGTCATAGCTCTATTGACTGCAGTAAAGTTTTGACAGTTTACATAAGTGGAGAATCTGCACCTCTGAATTTATACTTTGCAGATGTTCTGTTCTTACCAATATCAGCTTTGTCTATATTTTCAGTCAGCTTGCAAGTCTGTGTAGTATTGAAAAACATAAGATGATAATGATAAAGAACTTCAGCAGTTGTATATTATGTAGAATTTTGAATAACTATGGTTATTTGGTGTTAACTCTGAGTTGGGTGAAAAGTTTGCTTCCCGATAGTCTGATGATAAAACATGAGAGAGCAGGAGGATTTAATTACTGAGAAGCTCAATTTTAAGACAATGTAATAATTTAATTTTAGCAAAGAAAGTTTTTACAATTTTCTTTTTATGAATCCAACATTCATACTAAGTTTTGTATTTTTTAAAAACTCTTAAGTTTGTGGGAATTGCTCTTTTGCAGTGGAATCAGTTTTGAAAGCCATAACTGAAATGAAGAGAGAGATTGAAGACCTGCACTACAGGGAGCACAAGCGCATTGCTATTCAGGGAATAATTAGTGCTATAAGATATGTCAGCTATGCAGATGAAGATGCCGCGGGGGTGGAACCAATTCAGGTACAGTGCTAGAGAATTAATAGTACAGCACTTAAGATGCTGTGATCATAATTACAATTGAGATCTCTTGCATTTGAATTCGAAACACACATATATTGTCTCTTGATTAACTGAATTTACTATTCTGAGAGCAAAAGAAGTTTGAAAGTCATATGTAAATCATTAAGTTTTAAAATTTTAATAGTTTTCTGAGAGTTACAGTCCTTAATAAAAATACCCTTTGTATAAAAGTTATTGAATTGGTTAAATAGCCTAGCTAAAAAGTAAATTAAGGACTGGGAAAACTGGCTACTTTAATATAACCTGTCATTTTCTAGACAGAGGTATGTATTTTTTCTTTAAACTTCATTAGAGAGAATTTCTATAAAGTGAATCTGCTACTGTTACAGAAAAGTAGAGTCCAGTCAGCATCTCAAACAACTGTAAAAAACACTGATATGGCTAAAGATTGTGTTACAAAAGGAAAAAAGCAAAGCCATCGAAATAAAGAAGCTAATTCTTTACTTGATTCACAATGTGGTTCCCTGGAACAACAGCAGAATCCAAATATGTTAACCAGAAAAAGTCGAATCAAGAGAAAAATCGAACACCGTACGGAGGCTGAAAAGTAAGCCTTTTGAATAAAGTATGGTTATATTAATTGTTCCATTTCACTGATCTACTGTAGATGTATAGAGTAAGATTTTTAGGAGTACACCTAACTCACAAGTCCCATTGAAAGGCAACTGACTAAAACGATAAGTAACTCAATTTTAAAATGGTAATCCTTCCTTATGGACCCCGTCTTGCTCCCATTAAAGTCACTTAAAGCAGGATTGAACCTTAAAAGCCTGTGTGTGTGACATTTCCAAATGGCCTTAGTTGACAAGTAACCTACTGTTCAGGCTCACAGTGGTCTGACTAAAACAGATGCATGTGGATGGGAATGTACTCTCCTTATCAGTGTCTACACGGCTTTGATATCAGTCAGAAATTTAAATAAAAAGTAGTTACTGTCAAGCAGAGCATGCACATAATTTCACTAAACAACTGAGGCGCTAATGTCAGTTAAAGTAGTGAAGAAAAGATGTTCCAAAAAACGTAGAATAAGAAGAAATATTTCAGTATCCCTTGCCATTAGTTTTTCTTCCCATGTAAGTATCTGTATAATAGAAAACACCCCAGGCAGCTGTAATTTGCTTCCAGAATGACAAGAATCAGAAGGTCAGGTGATAAGAGAGAGAGAATTTTCAACTTTTCTGTTATGCTTGTGCTGTATTTCATGGGAGCTCTGAAAGGTCAGTACATGTATGTAGACCTGTGGAACTGTTTATAGTGTCTATAAGGCTATGTCTACACTGCACATTTATTTCGGAATAAGCTATTCCAGAATAGCTTATTTCAAAATAGCATGTCTACACTGTAGGGAAGCCTCATCATTAGTCTGAGGTAGGCTTCCCTAATGTAGACGTGCTATCTTGATTTAGAGGCCCAGGAGGAGTAATTTAGAATGGCCCTTGTGAGGGGCTATTTTGAAATAGGAGAAGTGGAGCATCTACACATGCCTTATTTCAAAATAGCGATTTCAGAATAGACATTATTCTTCGTAGAATGAGGTTCACAGAATTTGGAATAATCCGTCCGTTATTTCGAAATAACGGAATTGCTGTGTAGACACCCGCATAGTTATAACTTCGCTGTGCAGACACATCCTAAGATAAAAAGTAAGTCCACAGGGGTGATCTCTGAAAATTGGAATAATGAACTACTGCTCTAGAACTGCCCCAGCCTGTGTCAATAGCACAGAATCTTGATATGTACTGTGAAATAATAATGCAGTGGAATTCTAGTGATTAAGGCCAATATTTTTGTAGTTCTTTTATACTGTAAAAGACATCTTTATTTCTTTTTAACATTCAAAAGCAGTAGCTCTGGAAGAAAGTTAAGAAGGTCAACATTTTTCTAAAGCTGCCTTGAAAAAGATAGATTTGGAATTGAATGAAGGAACTTCCTGAAGAAAAAATTATTGGAAAAAATTAGCTGTGTTTACCAATGGCAGCAGCAGTTTTTAAGGGTACAGTGTCCTGTCTTCTGAAAATGTTTGTTTGCACTTGTCTTTTAATTCTGATGGAGATAAAAGTTATGATTTTATTAGTAATCTGAGGATATGTACATTTTTATATCAAACAGATGTACTTTGTAAAATGATGAATTTTTACTGTTTTAAGGAAGAGAAACTTGTCTGCTTGTGTGTCTGCATGTCCATATTTCACACGATCTGCAAGCAAGAAACTCAAGTGAGTGATGTGGTCTTTGTGGTTTTTTTTTTTCAGTAAGTGCATTGATAAGATTAAAGTGTATATTTTACATTTGCAAAAGTCAAGAATATGTTACTAAGTTTTAAATGGAAATAAAACAGAAGAAAGGAATGAGAAGAATTTAATATTTGGCATTCCCCTCCCAGATACAGTTTCTAGTTCTGACATACTGGAACACTTTCTAAGCCATTTTTTTCTTAGTATTGTGGTGTTAATGGTTTTTATGGTACTGAAAATTAGGCCCCAGCATGCAAGGCACTGTACAGACAAGAGTAGTGGACAGTCCTTGTCCCAGAAAGTTTACCAGCTAAAAGAAATAATAGACACATAGCAGAAAATAGGAGAATCCATGCAAGCAGATTAAACAATGTGATGGTGTAAAAACATCATGTTCTGCAGTTTTAGCAGGAGAAGTTTTGATTAGGAGAGCATAAGCAAAATGGAAAGATAAGGAAAGAAAGGGTAGATATTGAAAAGAGAAGTGAGATAGAAAGAGAAATTTATGAAGAGTAGTTATGGAAGGAGGCTGAGAGGAAGGGTCTGTATAGGAGCATATTAGTCAGTCAGTACAATGCAGTGAATGTAAGCTCTTTGAGTCTGAAACCATGTCCTTGATGTTAAGAAAGCACCAAGCATATTGTGAGTTCTACCATAAATAAATAGGATAAATACAGTACAGGTCATACCTTTCTAAACCAGGAATCTCTGGTTCAGCAACATCCATGGTTTGGCAGGACCACAGATGTTGCTGGACCAGAAAGCCTCGGGCCAAGAGTCCAGTGGCAGCAGTCTGGCACCCAGCAGCCCCAGCCAGGGCTCATGGTAGGGAGACCCAGTGCTGGCCAGGACCAGCCAGCACTTAAGAACTTGACAAGCTCAGGTCTGCCATCTTACATGCATCTTTCTTGAGGCCTTGTGGACCTTTGCAAAGGTTCGTTTTTAACTGTGAAAACATGGTTAGAATTTTGGTTACATGGCTGCATTCCAATATATATATTTGTAATTGAAAAGGAAGCTTTCAAATTTGCTTTCAGCTCAAAACAATGCCAGTGAAAGAAGGCAACCAAGCTGGTGCAGCTGTAGCTTTTTGTCTGCACAGTTAACTAGCTACTATTATAGCTGCTCGATTTGCATCTCTGAGTTTGAGTTCTTGTGCATTCAGAGTTAGGAACCAAGATGAGATCACTTTAATACTTGACTCACAGGGTGAAGGCATTGTTTTAATAAACACCTATTTTTCCCTTTTTCTAAACTCTATAATGAAAGTAAAGCTGAGAAGACTAATGCATACTCTCTTCTGCTCTTAACTAGCATTAAAGAATGTGTATTAAAAACGAGTTGTACAAACTTTTGAATATTTAACCCTTCTCTAAAATGTTTAACACCTCAAAAAGTAAGAAAAATACTAATGACTGAAATGTATCCTGTACTAGGTCCCCAATAAATAAAAAAAAAAGGAACTTTGAAATTCTTTACCATCTTGGGATCATTTAATTTAGGGCACCTGGATGTTACTTTACCATAACTGTAGCTTTTGTTATCAAAACCTCTTTATAGACTCACAGGCATGGTCTTCATATAATAAATAGTCTTTTTTTTCATAAAATCTAAATTTCATTATGATATTTGACTAGGTAACAAGTATACAGGCATAAAGCAAGGGAGAAAGGAATACGCAGAACTAAAAGCTGGGGTTAGTATGGTGGCACAATATATAACATTTAGTTCTCTAGGATATTTTTTCAGGTGAGGAGGAGAGCTGGCTAAAGGAGGTTAAAGGATGACTGTTGGAGAATTCATTTAGTTTTCACAACTAATGAAATTATAATAAAAAATTCCAGTTCACTTTATTGAACTGATTGTCATGTCAAGATAACAAGTGAAATCTGTTGGAATGTTTATTCGGAACCTTATGTTCACCATTTTAGTTTCTAAAGTGTTGTTCTGGCTACAGGTTTTCATAGCTACTTTGTACCTTCAACCACTGACATGTGCTGGTATCAAAGTACAATAACACAGCATGGAGCTTTCTGCAATTAGTATAGAAACTTGTTTATGGGCTATGACAGTGGTTCTTAACCTATTCACCATTGTGGCCTCTATTCATCCCCTCCTGCCCCCCATTGCTGTCTCTGATATTGAGGTAGCAACGCAAGGGGCAGGCAGTTCCATGGGAGCTGGTACATGCAGGGAGCCAACATAAAAGCTGGCTTCCCACGCACACCAGCTCCTGCAGAGCTGCCTCTCTCCTCAACCCATCTCACACTTCAGTGACTACACAGTTCCAAAAAAAACCCACATTTTAACATCCCTAATCCACACAATATATATACTGCCTGTATGGCCCTGAGGATGTCACATGGGCTGTAGCTGTGTGTGTTTTAGGCCACAAGCAGGTAGTGGATTGAGCAATACTTGTTTATAACATTCAGCTCTGCTTCTGTTAGTGCAGAGGCCTGCAACATGTGGCTCTAGAGCTGAATATGGCTCTTTTGTCATTCCCAAAATACACACAACTTTTTGCATTAAAATGAAAAATTAATTCAGAATTTTAAAAACCCATAATTACATCAAGATAATTTTTTTATTTCACCTTTAATTGTTCATTTTAACAACCATCCCTTCTTTCTACTCGTGGGGATCAAGCATATTCTCTTTTTGTTTGATTGGTTAAGAAATATTTACATTATCCTACGTGATGGTGAACTCTGTAACCCCCTAACAATAAAAATGGCAAAGAGAAAGCGGGATGATGAGTACCAACATTTTCAAGAGGAGTGGACAGACTTATTTGCATTTGTGGATAGTCTGGATCTCCTCACTGTCTCATTTGCAGTGAGAGACGGTTTTCAAACAAACAAAAAATGAATTTCATCACAAAACATGCAACATTTGCTAGAAAATACCCTGCGAGGAGCTGCAGCAAAAAATGAACATTGGAGAAAATAGCCTGTTGGCATGGTCAAAAAAAGGTGGGAGCTTAACCCTCTGTAAGTTTTGCAGGCTCATACAGCATTCTTTGGGAGGGGAAGCCTTTCAGTGACAGGGATTACAAGAAGAGAAGCATGCTATTGGTCATAAACTATTTGAAGAGTATCACAATGAGGACAAAATCTTGCAGAAAATTCAAGACATGCCATTATTGGCAAAAAAAAGTTCACGACAGAGCTGTGAAAAATGGCCCATCAAATTGACAAAGAACAAATGCAAAATGAGTACAGCTACGTACTGAATGTGCAGAAGTGGCCAAAATTGCAGAAATTTGCTGATAAGAAATTGGAGCATGATGATGATCTGATTCTGCAAATTTGGAAAGAACTTCCTGTCACGTACAACACCATGCAGAATGTCAGGTTGGCCTTACTTTAAATGTTTGGCTCCACTTATATGTGTGAGCAGGCGCTCTCTCATTTGAATCACATCAAAGGTACTTTTGCACTCAAGACTGACAGAAGACAGCCTAAATGTGTGCATGAAGCTGAATTTGACCAGTTATATTGTAAACTTCAAAGAAATGTGCGAAAAGATACAGCAGCAGAAGTCCCATTAAATAAAATCCTTGAGTGCAATGTTTTATTTATGCTATTATTAATCATCATGTCAATTATCAATAATATTAAGTTGTATATTTTCAGTCATGCAAATGGGTATTCTTACACTAGCTCTCTGTTGATGTAGTTTGTCTCTTTGGTTTGAAAAGATTGCCAACCCCTGTGCTAGTGTCATGCACGTAGTTTACAACAAGTTTCCACTAGAGGGCGAAAAATGTCACTTTTAATTTAAACATTTTTCCTTCGGAGTTCACTGATTCACATGACAAGAAATGCATTTAACCTTGAACTTTAAGAAGGTTTATGCTGAGAAAAATTATTCTGTTTATTGCAGATGTTAAACTTCTGTAGCTTCATGTCAGCAATCCTTAGCAATAAAAATAACTCTTATCAAGTCTGAAGTTTCTGCTTTCTAATTATTAAAAGTTATAGGTTTTTTAATAACATAGTAACCGAATATACACTTTTTAGTTTTAGCTAACGTTTTAAAAAACTCAGAATTTATTCATTTTTGCTTTATAGCTTGCGTGAATTTCAGCAAGAACATTCTGTTCCCGAACAAAATATCTTGGCTGAACCTGACACATCACAACCTAGTAGAGGTACGTGGATAAATATTTTGTCTGACTGCTCATTTTACTGTTGTAAAAAGATGTAAAGCCTCTCTTCTCAGGCCAAAAATAAGGGGACAAACATCCCCTGTCCTTGCTATCCTAGAGCTGGTTCAGCTCTCAACACAATATAGAGAAACCCCAGGCTGTTCTTATTTGCATCAAGCAGCAAGAGACTATAAGGAACCATTCAGACAACTAGGTATCAGCACCTTTTCCATCTGACATGACGCTTATACATATCAGGGCTGGCTGTATGCGTGGTAGAAGGCGGCTGTATTGTTCTAGGCACTGTACAAGAGGAATGCTTCATGTTTAAGTTGGCTTTGAGTCTGTGTTGCATCTCTGGAGCAGTTCAAAGTAGGGAAGAAGACCTTGTCTCTATTTTTGGTGGTGGTGGTGCAATAGTAATTCAAATGTGCTAGCATTTCCAAAGGCAAGAAAATCACCCCTGATCGTAAGAGTACATTCTTTAAAAGTCACACTGTGAAGAAAGGTGGTAACATACAAGCAAGTAATCATGGTCAAATCAAATCATGAGGCAAGATCAAATCAGTATCTTAGATGCCTATATACAAATGCAAGAAGTATGGTAATAAGCAGGAAGAACTGGAATTGCTAACCAATAAATACAACTTATGATATCATTGGTATTACAGAAACCTGGTGGGATGGGACGCACGATTGGAATGTTGGTATGAAAGGGTACGGCTTGCTCAGGAAGGACAGACAGGGAAAAAAGGGAGAGGGGTTGCCTTGTATATTAAAAATGTACACACTTGGACTGAAGTGGAGATGAACGTAGGAGATAGCTGTGTAGAGAGTCTCTGGGTTAAGCTAAAAGGGGTAAAAAACGAGGGTGATATCATGCTAGAAGTCTACTACAGGCCACCTAGCCAGGTGGAAGAGATGGATGAGGCCTTTTTTAAACAATTAACAAAACTATCCAAAGCCCAAGATTTGGTGGTGATGGGGGACTTCAACTATCCAGACATACGTTGGGAAACTAACACAGCGAGGCACAGGCTATCCAATAAGTTTCTGGACTGCATTGGAGACAACTTTCTGTTTCAGAAGGTTGAAAAAGCTACCAGAGGAGAAGCTGTTCTGGATTTGGTTTTAACAAATAGGGAGGAACTAGTTGAGAACTTGAAAGTGGAAGACAGTATAGGGGACAGTGATCACGAAATAATAGAGTTCATGATCTTAAGGAAAGGTAGAAGGGAGACCAGCACAATTGAGGTAATGGATTTCAGGAAGGCAGATTTTGATAAGCTCAGAGAACTTGTAGGTAAGGTCCCATGGGAAGCAAGACTGAAGGGAAAAACAACTGAGGAGAGTTGGAAGTATTTCAAAGGGACGTTGTTAAGGGCCCAAAAGCAAACAATTCCGCTGTGTAGGAAAGATAGAAAATATGGCAAAAGACCAGCTTGGCTTAACAAGGAGATCTTGCATGATCTCAAAATAAAAAAGGAGTCATATAAAAAATGGAAACTAGGACAACTAACAAAGGATGAATATAGGCAAGCAACACGGGAATGCAGGGGCAAGATTAGAAAGGCAAAGGCACAAAATGAGATCAAACTAGCTACAGGCATAAAGGGAAACAAGAAGACCTTTTATAAATACATTAAAAGCAAGAGGAAGACCAAGGACAGGGTAGGCCCACTGCTTAGCGAGGAGGGAGAAGCAGTAACAGGGAACTTGGAAATGGCGGAGATGCTCAATGACTTCTTTGTTTCGGTCTTCACCGAGAAGTCTGGAGGTGTGCCTAACGTAGTGAATACAAGCAGAGAGAGGGTAAGTTTAGAAGATAGGATACACAAAGAACAAGTTAAAAATCACTTAGGAAAGTTAGATGTCAGCAAGTCACCAGGTCCTGATGAAATGCATCCCAGGATACTCAAGGAGCTGATAGAGGAGGTATCTGAGCCTTTAGCTATGATCTTTGAAAAATCATGGCAGACAGGGGAGATTCCAGAAGACTGGAAAAGGGCAAATATTGTGCCCATCTATAAAAAGGGGAATAAGAACAACCCAGGAAACTACAGACCGGTCAGTTTAACGTCTGTCCCAGGGAAGATAATGGAGCAGGTAATTAAGGAAATCATATGCAAACACTTGGAAGGTAATAAAGTGATAGGGAATAGCCAGCATGGGTTTGTGAAGAACAAGTCATGCCAAACTAATCTGATAGCTTTCTTTGATAAGATAACGAGCCTTGTGGATAAGGGAGAAGCGGTGGATGTCATATACCTAGACTTTAGTAAGGCATTTGATACGGTCTCGCATGATATTCTTATTGATAAACTAGGCAAATATAACTTAGATAGGGCCACGATAAGGTGGGTGCATAATTGGCTGGATAACCGTAGTCAGAGAGTTGTTGTTAATGCTAGGGATGGGTGAGTGTAAGGATGTGAGGGAGGAATGGCATACGAGCCCCCGATGAGGAGGACTGGGGTGGCTCTGCGGGATCCTCAGGGTGGAAGCTCTCCTGCAGCTCATTCAATCAAATGTTCATGCTGGTTTATATAGACTGGCAAAGAAAGTATGGTGTCTTTAGCAGAAAGCTCTCTCCAGTCAGCTGGGCTTCAAATACTTAATTTTAAATGCTTTAAATTCTCTTAAACGTGGATTTCAGCATCTCACTGTTCAGTAATAAAAGGCTGTAACCTCTGTTGTCCTTTCCTAATTTCACATCTGTTTGTGTTGATTTAAATATGTGCATACAAATAGGACAACATGCAAATTGCAACTTCAAGATATAGAGAGAGGAAATTAAGAGAAGGCATGATTGAAGTTTTAGAAGGAGAGAGATTTTTAACCTGCCATTTATATCCTAGCAGTTTTTAACTTTAATACCACAAAATCCTGCAAATAATGTCTTCACACTTACTCTAGAGGATGGCAGTTACCGTATATTTCTTTCTTATCTCAATGTAATTATTCAGAATATCCCAGTAGAACCTCTTTTTAGTCAGCTATCTTTCTAATCAAACGTGACTGTTTAGTTGTTCAAAATTAAAAATGACAATAGCATGAAATGTAACACTTGGTGTACAGTATCTCTGATATAAAACAGCATTACCAAGAGATGGAGGTCTAACAGCCTACATTGAAATGGAACATTATGCTTTTCTGGTGATACTAGAATATGCTGCTTATAAATTTAAATTTTATATCACCAAGCAGCTAGGTTTTCTCAATTTGTTAGTTGAGATGTCATTGTTTTTCAAGTATCAGAGGGGTAGCCGTGTTAGTCTGAATCTGCAAAAGCGGCGAGAAGTCCTGTGGCACCTTATAGACTAACTGAAGTGTTGGAGCATAAGCTTTCGTGGGTAAAGACCCATTTCGTCAGATGCATGTAGTGGAAATTTCCAGAGGCAGGTATAAATATGCAGGCCAGAATCAGGCTGGAGATGACGAGGTGGATCCAATCGGACTCCTCGCCGCTATTGTTTTTCAAGGGATGGTACTTGGTCCTGCCGTGAGGGCAGGGTACTGGACTCAATGACCTCTCAAGGTCCCTTCTAGTTCTATGAGATAGTTATATCTCCATATATTATTTCATTTGACTCATTTATATTTAATAGCAATTTTTGCTATTTAATACATGACAACTTTACTCAATTTACTATATAGATGATTATTTATTAATGGGGGAGGATGGTGGCTGTAAATTTACTATACACTCCAGTTTTGTGGAAAAAGTTCTGCTTCATGCTCTATGCAAGGATTCTCCGGACACAAATTGAATGCTTTTTTTTCTTTGTTAGGCTCACCAATTTTCCTTTCTTTTCAGCATAATTCCTTGTGTTTCATTCAATGCAGTAATGCTCATGTGCTTTGTTTGTTTGTTGTTGTTCTGCTCTGGGTTGTTGCTGTTGCTAGTCTTGAGTCTTTGGCACTCATGAAGCTCCTTTGTAATAAATACTTCAGTGCCTCCTGTGAAGCAGTGAGGAAACTGGCACACACAAACCACGTGAGCTAATTGGAAATAGGAATAAGATTCATTGTATAGTATCAAGATGGGAGCACTATTTGCAGGGAGATAAGATAGGGATAACTGGAAAAAAATAGGTTGGATACGTTTCAGAATGCACCTTGTGGAAAGGTTACAGAATGGGGACTTGGCTACAGAATTAAGAGAAATGGTTTAGTTGTACTTTTTTTTTAGTTCTTAGTCTGCAGGTAACATTACATATAAGGATAGACTATAACTGGGATTTTGCGCAAAATATAAAGCAACAGCAAGTAGTCTTTATTGCATGAATATACATTGAACAGAAGATGGTAAAGCACAGCATCATAAAGTACCTGTTTAATTTTTACACTTACAGTACCAGGTTATGGTGTAACAAGATGACTGGTCCTTACTCACCCAAAAGCAAGCAGTGAATGGCACCCTCCAACAACAATTATTTTTATGAGTCTGGTTTTCAAAATCTAGCTGGAAACAGCAACTTATTTACTAACAGTCTAGCCTTAACTTAATTCTTTATGCATTCTTTGTTTTGATTGTTCAACATATATTTTCATGTTTGACTTGTTAATCTATTAAATGTTGCTTGTCCTAGTACATTGGGGAGGTGGTATGGTTTTGTCTGTGCATATTGATAAACTACATGTTTAATGTATTTATAATAGCAGATACGGAGGGAGTGAGTGACACACCTGAAATAGAAGAGATGAGAAGAGCTTGCCATGATTCATGGCAAAGCGATCTGTGGACAAAAGTGAAAGACAACTTAATAGATCACTTGCATTACTGCACTGTTTTCCCAGAAAGCATCCCACGTAAATTTGATTATTTGCACAAAGAATTCCTTACACAGCAATATAATCTACATCCAGCAGTGCACAAGCCAAAAGAATACATAACAAAGAAAGAAATTCAGGAATTTAAAAGTGCCAGTGGCCTTGGGCACTATGAAGTGACTATACTGGGTAAGTGACAGCTAATAGTTCAGTTTTTTCTGAAAGAAATCCTAACATTGTAAGATTGTTAGCATTCTCAACATTTAACAAAGAATGCCATTTAACTTTTTGTGAAGTTGAATGGATGCTTTAGTGTAATTTGAATTGAGTTTCTTTTATATACAATCTTGTTAAAAGTACGAACTTAATTTTTTTAAAAGATAACATTAAGATAGCACCCATCCAAACTCCATAGTTAAGTCTGAGTTGAGTTTTGCACTAGAAGCAAGGATTTTCCAGACTTATAACACATTTTGAGTACAGCACTAATTTTCTGATGATTTCCAAATTTCCTTGTAATTTGAGGTGAAATACCTATTTTCAGCTGAAATTGTGATTTTGAAAGTTGCTTACTAGCTTTACTTTACATGCAGTTAAAATCTCTTAATTTTTTACTCTGGGCTATATTTGAAGAAACTATGTTGTAACTGAGCTATTTACATTTTGTTTAGATGTTAGGATTCTAGGCAGTTCCTGGTCAATAGGTCAGATCGTCAAGTATGGGTGTTTTGAGAAGAATAACCAGTCTCCAACCTTCTTTTTTAGCTAATATATTATATGTGCTGGAGATCTGTTTGTTGAAATGAGTCAGTAGTGTAAAGGGAACTGTATATATGTTTCAACTGTATTTCTTTGACCTGATCTCTCACTGGATTAGTTCCAGCTGTCTTTGCTCTTTGTCAAGGCTAGGTGCTAGTAAATTAGGGGCCAGATTCTCAGGTAAAAAATGTTAAGGTGGAGTTCAGTTTGCGTATGTATTGATAACTTAAAAGTGCAATAATAGGTTTTGGAGTGAGACTGAACATTATAAACCTAGGAAATCCAAATATGTTATGGGCAGCATATGTACAATCATTAAGGCATCCATGCAACCTTAATGCTCTGTTCTGTAGTGACACCAGGGGGACACAGAGGAAGACACGTTCCTCTTTCTCCCTCCTCCCCCAGGCCACCTAGACATGCCCAAGGCCCTGGTGCTCCTGCCTCTCCTCCTCTCGCCACGCCTGCCCCCTTCCCTTCTCTCCTCGGCCCGGACTCCGGGCCGCCCGGACACACCCAAGGCCCCGACGCTCCTGCCTCTCAGCCCGGTGGCGGCCCCTCCCCACGCCATGCCTCCCCCTCCCTTCCTGCCTTGGCCAAGACGTGCCCAAAGCCCCGGTGCTCCTGCCTCCCCTCGCCACAACCCCCCCTCCCCTTCCCTTCCCTTCCTGCCTCAGCCAGGATTCGGCCCCGAGTGGAACATGGGCCCAGCATACCTGAGCGCCGAGTGAGTCCGCAGTGCGGGTGTGAGCTGCCCCAGGCGTGGGGTGAGGAGGTAGGGTTGCCAAGCCCGCGCTGCGTGCCATTGTGGTGTGAAGTGTCCCTGGAGACCCGTGCTGTCACGTGACAGGCGTCGCCGTCGGATAAAACGGTAGGTTGGATAGTGAAAGTCGGATAACCGAGACTTTACTGTAATTGATAAAAGACTTATTGAAGAGAAGTAAATGATGTACATTTAAACTATTGCAAACTGAAGCTGAAGTATTTTGTTAAGGTAATTATCTCTCTTAACAGGGATAAACCATGATTTGGCTGTTGATGTTGCATTTCTACCTATATTTTGTCCTGAAGATGCCCGTTTATTTCAAATAGAGGATATTCAGAATGATACGTTATTATCCTGTATG